GGCAAACCATACTCTACCACCAGCCTTAGCTGTCTTCCTAAATAACAGCTATGGAACAAAACAGCAACAACTATCAGTGTATTAGGCTACATTTTGTGTTCATTCTATATTCTTTATTCACCATTGGCTGCAAATTGTCTTTATTGTTTTTGATTTGCTTTATTTTTTTTAGAAAAGTTTTTAATTTTTGTTTTCTTTTTAGATTGTAGTTTTTTTTAATTTCTTTCTGTAAGACCCTTTTTATCCTTTCCTAAGGATTTTATGCGTCTAATAAAAAAATAAAAAATAAATATCATTTACATAATAATAGAGATTGACCAAAGCACATTTACACACACATAACAAACAACATATATTTTCAAAAACAATGTGGCACATATTTATTTGCTTCATCCAGTGTTATAAACACTATTCAGCCAGGAATATGTTCTCGACTTCCATGATCTTATTTACTACAAAAACATTCTCCTTCAAAAAATTGTTCATTATTCCGACCATCAGCTTCTACAACGTTTACATTTACAGTAATGAACGAACAAATAAAACTTCCAAACAATCATCAAAGTTACGACGTGACTTAACTTACTTCGCGATGTTATACAAAGGTTATACCAATAATTCCTCTTACTCAGTCATGCCATGCAAAAAATGTTACTTCTTTTTTAATATGAAACAAGTCATTGAAAATGACACAGTCCCCGTTAAGTTCTCTTTGTGCTCCTCATATTAAAGCGGAGGGGTTGTCGCGAGCGTGTCCTTGAAACTTGAGTTCCAAGTGGCGTTTACAACAGATTGTTTATTTACATCAAAACATGTGTTTCATGTTGTAGTAATATGGCCAAAATAAAAACAGCCGTTATTCAGCCATCTTTGATCTGATTATGAACCACACTGATATGTATGATGTATGTGCCAAATACAAATGAAAATGGTACATAAATTGTGGAAATATAGTAGTAAAGCCAAAAAGTCAGATGGCTGTCAATCGGCAATCCTTGACCAGATTTTAAACAAATTGTCATGCACATGCATCTTAACATGTATAAAGTACATGTATGTGCCAAATTTGAATGAAAACTGACAGAGCACGTCTGAGATACCGCATAAAAAAACAAAAAAACAAGATGCCTGCCAGTCGACCATCTTTGATCCAATTGAGAAATAAATCGTCATGGACATATATCCTAATATGTATAATCTATGTACTAAGTTTGAATGACAACTGACAAAGCATGTCCAAAATACAACATTTTCAAAAAACAAGATGGCTGCCAGTCGGCCATTTTGAATCGAATCGCTAAATCACTGCATGTGATTCTGAGATATGACTCTGGACGGACGCACAGATGCACGGACGCATGGACGGAGGCCGAATTATAAGTCCCGATTTTCGGACTTCGTCCGAACGGGGACTAATAAACGTAAAATTTCAGCGATTATTTTTGATCACTCGATTGCTTTGGTGAAAAACACAGGCCGCCATGATAATTGTGACGTATTAGTTGACCGGCATGTGTCCTTTGACCCGATGGGTCAAAAACGCCATTAACCAATCAGAATACCGCATGGTAATGCTGGCAGAACCTGAAGTTTTCCGAATGGTAGCGATCATAAAAATTACATTGCGGAAGTAAAGCGATGTCGTAGCATGATGTGTTGGTATGGATTTCAGAGAAAAACTGCATGATGGTTTTCGAAATAGGTGAT